TTTTTTTACGTGTGGATTTTATTCACTTTGAACTACATGGTTTCTGCACTTAGGGATGATATTATAAAAACTAAAGAACGACTATTGTAAGAGAAATGTACAGGGTGGTGAAAACCCTGGTAACACACCAGCAGGAAAAACAGATCTAAATCCTCACCCTTTGAACAATAAAAAAAGAAACCTCTCTTATACATCTAAAAATCAATGAAAGGGACGACAGAGAGGCAAGGATCTCCTACCAGTTAAGATTCTAAACACTTGTGCTTCTGACACAGGCTACATTTAAGCTCCTGAATCCTATTTGTTAAAATGTAATGACTCAGGTGTCAACAGCTGAGTCATCTAAAGAGCGGTCTGACGTGTGGCTGGTTCATGTTATGATTACAGCGAAAAACCGTTTCTGCTCACACCTAGAAATAGTTTGAGGCTAACTAGACGACAGAGGAATCAACAACATAGGATTATATTTAGCAAACAAATTCTTTTTGATGATATTTCATGTAAATCGAGATTGAGTTACGCCATCTCTAGAGACATCGCTGGTTTTATGTAAATAAATCACTAAGTGCTCACCAGTCTTGTGGAGCCAGTTTGAGCGGCTGGTCGATGATGCGGTAAGGCACAGTCACACTCAGTGTCGTGCCACCAGGCTGGATCTGGTCTTTGCGTCTTTGAAGCAGAACCTCGTTGTCGCGCTGGATGCCCCCCTTCTTCTTCTCTTCTGATGTGACAAACCTGGTGAGTTACAAACAATATATTTTAACTTCTCATTTTCGTTTATAACCCTCTACTTTGTGCAGTTTCACTTTGCCATGTAACATGTTGAATACACACATTACATTCAACTGACTAACCCCCCCCTCTGTGTAACTTGACTCTGGAACAGTACATGCCACAGCACATCTCGCCAGCTTTCTCCACATGACATAGCGATGCTAAACTATTTCATAGAATCTGTAAGTGATTAATCTGCCTCCATCAGTAAAAGGTGGTTAATTCTGCCTCCAGTGAATCATGTCATACCATTTAGTTACTGGCATCAAGTGTCAGTATTATATTGTTCACTGAAAGGCGGACTGATCTTGTTCTGTGAGAAAGTTTGGGAACTGGAAAGAGCGACAGGTTCGATGATGTTACTCAATTTGTTTCCTTAAATTGAAAACAAAGCGATTCCCTGATAATTTTCTGTACTGATGTAAAATTCTTCTTCCTTCTTGTGTTGTTTTTCAGAACCAGCTGCATAATAATGTGACCTTCTGAATCAACCTCATATCAGGTAAAAATACCCGGTATTAAAGTGAGGAGATAAACGATCTTACAATCTCAGGTGGGATTTCTCAGACTGAAGAGTAATATTTTAGAGTCGTGGGAAAAGGAGGACTGTGTGATGTATTGCTGTTGAGGTACATTCTTTCTCACACAAGAAGTGTGTGGCTTTGTCTAACATTTGTTGTTTGTTGATGTGGTTAAACCTGAACACAGTTGCTATGTGCATCACATATTGCATGTGTATGGTTTACAGGAAATTATATTTTTCTCACATTTGACACATCAAAAACTTTAAGTTCATATTTTGCCACTGAGTGTATTAAGGCAGAGTGAGTACAGAGTGTATGATGAACTTATGTGTACGTCTGGTAGGTTAAATCATTGGTAAAAATAATACTGCATATGTTGGTACATGCAACAATTTTATGCTTCAGTTGAAAAATGTTATAAATCACACAGGCTATGTTTGCTGTCTAATGTAGTGAAATGCTTTAAAGTAGTTTTTTAATTAACCGACTCATTTGATACTGTGTATATTGAGAAAAAAAGTATTCACATGTCAAGGGCCATTCTGTGCTTCATTTTATAAAAAAAAGAATCTGATAATCTTCCCAGTAATAATATAACAATATAGTGTTTACTGTAGCTCCATTTTTTTAAGCCTATTAAATGTGTTTTAAAAAAAATTGTTTTGGAATGAGCCCTCACTGCTGTCTCAGTATTAAAAGGTCCAGTGTGTAAGACTTAGGTGAAAGGGAACTATTGGCAGAAATTGAATGTAGAATAATTCTCATGATGTTTCCACTAGTTCGTTTCATCTAAATTGTATGAATTGTAGTTTTCTTTACACCAGAAAAGACCATTTATATTGAGATACTTTATATTTACATCGAGGGGACCCTCTCTACAGAGGCCACCATGTTTTTTACATTAGTCCAGACTGGACAAACTAAACACCTTTTGAGTTTTTATGACAATTAAAGGCTACCACAGTTTCTTTTTCATGTTTGCAAGGGGAGGGTGAGGTGAAGGGTGTTCAGCTGCAACATGCAATTTCAACACTAGATATCACTAAATTCTACACACTGTACCTTTAAGTTACTAAAAACACCAAAAACTAAGATTTTCTCAAATTGCCACAAAAGTGAGACAGTGAGGATAATTAAAATCATTTTCAAACAGGAGTGTATGCTTACTTTAGATCCTGCAGAAGATCCTTAGCATTGAGCATTGTGATGAGTGAGGTGGTGGCGGCAGGGATGATGACGATGGGTGTCCGGGAACCTGTAGAACAAAAAAAAAGGCAAAATAAAAGATCTAAACACAGATAACGTGTTGGACAGACGGATCAATATAGGAAAAAAAGAGGTTTAATGTAAAACAGCAGTGTTTTATATATAGGTAGGCAAAAAAAGAATATACCTTTCTTCTGATTTGGTGGAGGTCTGGCTTGTGAAACTTGAATGAAAAAGACAAGGAAAAGGTGTTAAGTTTATGAGCACATCCACACATATGGAGGCAGAAATAAACCTAATACAAAGCAGACACAATACTGATATGATACCATAAATTACTTTGCTGTTTCTACTGTTACAGGTTCCTGCTGGTATGATGATTATTTTCAATATTAATTAGGATTTTCTCATTACCCTATCTACTAAATTGCAATGACAATTATTATTATTATTACAAACATCAACATCTTATAACTGAACCATTCCTCAGAGGTTAAAGCAGAAGCCTAACTTTAAACCCTAACATAAAATTTAAGATGTAAAAGATCTCTACACTGCAATTAGTTTATTAAAAAGGGAAATGCATCCAAAATGAATCAGTCTTGTCATCAGTCACAACACATAGATAGATGCTGCCATGTTGTGATCTAAGACATTCCTAAAATAAATATAAAAACTGTGGATGAGTAACTTAAGGCAGCGTGAGCCAAACAGGAGTGTGATTCTTCTTTGCAAGATAAAGTCTCTCGCAGGGAGGTAGTTTCATCTAAAAATAATGTGTGTGTAAATATGCCATATGTAGCAAAAATTGGCAACCCCAAGTTCATTTTTAGAGAAAAAGAGGTAGCACAGTCTGATCATGAGCCAAAAAACATCAGTGACGAAAGGTTTTGCCTCTTCTCTTCTTGTTCATGGACATCTTAAAGATACTAGCTAATAATGTGAACTGCAGTAAGGGTCTGAACTCTGACTGGCTGGTTGGATAATGCAGTGTTTCTCCTCTAAGCTGTGGGAAGGAAGACCAGATGAATGACACGTGCAGACTGCTGCCTGAGATTTTCCGACAACTGAAAACTAGGGGGATGGGATTTGGTGCAAGTCCCCATAGGAGTTAGCATCGGATGATCACAGAAAGTGGATGTTGCAGTTTTTTTATAGTTTTCAACACAACTTCAGGTTAATAAAAAAATGAAGTACAATTAAGGCAGAGAAGAGGTTTAACATTTGCAACCCTTAAGGAATTCAGAAAACGGGGAAAAGCCACAACCTAACTGTGAAACAGGAGAAGAAAAGCTGCTTTGTTACACTGTAGCTTTTCCATCAGTTGCTCAGACCTTCCCTGCATATCCAATATGCAAAGGAATGCATGAAATAGATAAGGAGGAAGGAGCAGATGGTGCATGACAAACAACAACACAAAAAAACCCCACTTTAATTTGTGTTGGTGAAACTTACTCAGTTTGTTGTTGATTTCAGGTCCATTCAAATGCAAAACATCAAGATGAATCCAGTGGAGGAGAACCCCATATACTTGTACAGGTTCCCCCACTACTGTTTTTCATACAGTCATAGAAGATCCTTACACTGTTTTATTACATTTAACCTAAGTTGGCTACAAGTGTTAGCAGAACTCTGCATATACTATTGATGCTCTGTTACCTGTGCTGTTCTATAAGAAATCCACTTTTTCCTTGGTCCTTGTAATGCATAACAAAATTGTCAGTAAACTTTCACTAAAACAATGTCAGGAGTCTTCTGCATGAATGTATGTAGTTGTAAGCAATAAAAACTAACCAGGACGAGGGACAGGCTGCAGTGCAGGGGTCTGGGCCTTCCGAGCAGATGCTCCTTCCTGGAAAACACAACATCCCAAGGTCATAAACATGCAGCAAACATACTATACTGCATATCTTATATGAATAGAATATTGCAGCAATATCAGGCTGTGTTGGTGTGCGTCAAAAAGCCTAACCTAGTGCTTATAGAGACTTTGAGAATTCAAGATTTAAAAGCTCCAAACAATATGAAGAAAAGGGTTGAATTGGGACAACTTCCATAGAAAGGCTGCAACCCTTTTTCCTTGTTTATATAATTCTCCTTGAGAAACATGGAACATGCTGCTCCCAGTCATACAGTAGTCGAATTTAAATGACAATGATTGAAAATTCAGGCAACAGTCCATCACGACTGAATGAGCACAGCAGAAAGATTGTATTAATTGAGTGTCCTAATCATCACCCAGGACAAGTGACTGGGACTAAAATGGGGTTTTGAGCTGCACTGTCCATGCATGCACAAGTTAAGAGGAAGCGGTTGTGGAGGTGCTGACATGAATGTTTCTCATCTCTCTCCTATTAGTTCACATCATGCTAGTGCTTTATTATCCTTTTTGAAGAGTGGGCAGGATTTCATATAGGTCAGCAGAGCAACCCCTCCCCCCACAACGGAGTAGGCAGCAACAGCAGCAGCAGAGAAGGCGTGACGTGGTAGGAGAGCGTACTGCTACCAAGCCTGGAGCTGCCTTTCAGAATGAATACACAATTCACAGCGCTGCCCCCTGCCCCATCTTTCTCCTCCCCCGCCGCTTTCACCCTCCTAGCCTTAGCGCTCTCACAGACAACGAGACGGCACAGATCGGCTGCTGAATGAGGAGGGTGAGAAGAGGAAAATGGAAACGAAAAAAGGGAAGAGAAGCCGATAGGGGGAGGGAAGATAACACAAGAGCATGTGAATCAGAGGAAAGAGAGAAGCAAGAGGAAGCATTAGCATGGTTATGCATCATCCAGAGAATTACCCAATCTATCGACTGCTGCAGTAATATTCACACCATGGAGTGAGAGGACAGTGAAAGGAACTGTCAGCTGCCGTCTTTCTTCTGCCTTTGGCCAGAGGAAGCATCAGCAGCAGCACCGTTGGCATCAAGCCACTGGGGACAATGCGCCAAAGACAGAGAGACTACAACACTGGAGCCCTGACACCTGTGCTGCTGATGCACACAGACACATATCTTTTTTTCATGCATGTGTTAGATAACCACGAGTTCCTGGAAGAGTAATACATTTTTCAAGAGACTGCTATACTGATAAAGAAGACCATTAGTTTCACCTTCTAATTATAAGAAAGGCTGATTTGTAACATGTCAAAGTAAATAATGAGGACCTCAACTGTACGTGAGACCAAGAGGAAGATCAGTGTGTGAGGATTGCATTTCATCACAGGAATGGATTCAAGAAATAAGCGAGTACTTAGAAGAAAACAGGTACGTTTTGTTCTGAAGCCTTAAAAACAAATGCATACCAACACAATGCTGCAATGAAGAAATAGTTCATGCTGCAAAATCAATAATCAGTTTTGTGTACTGTACAGAATGTGAAGGGTGTTTCCTGTTTTTTTTTACAGGAAACAGTTTCAATTTCAGTTTCTGCATGCTAGATAGGCAACAGAAGTCTTTGCGGTTCTTCTGTGAGCTCTCACAAACCAGTCTTTGTCTTGTCTGGGTAGTGTGTAATTCAGTAAACAACTGAGAGAATAGTGCAGCATGCAAACATAGGCTGTTATTAACCATTCCTCGTCTGGGTTCTGTTCAAGGCCAAAGGAATGTCGAGTTGTGAATGTAAAACATAATTCAGTTCATTCTTGCACTGAAAGCAACACTATAAGAAATCATTTCCTTCGAAGATCAAGTGGCCTACATCAAAAGTTAGAATGTGAATCAGTCAGATATGTAAGCAGATAAAGTCTTGAAAAAAAAAAAATTAGCATTAGCTTCCTGTGAAAAAATGTGAACCAATAATTTTTTATGCCTGGTAGTTTAGAACATGCCAAAGACTTGTCATTATCTACTGCATTGGATTTTCAAGTCATCTGTAGAGCCACAAGAGAACAGACTGGGAAGGGCATATGTCTTTTTACAATGCAAATCCCAAAATTAAATTCACAATCACCTACTTTTACTTATTAAGTTGTGCAATTTTTACTTTACTTTCAACATTCTTCTTTTCTCAAAAAATATCTCAGGGTTTTTCCTGGCTGAAAATAATGCAGGGGCTGTACAGAGCCTCTTAAGGATAAGAGCGATATCACATTGCGTAGTCACCTATGTGTGCACACATACGCACACACCTTCTCTTTTTCCCTCTTTCTCTCTCTCTCTCTCTCTATCTATCTCTCTCTCTCTCTCTGACACAGAGACACTCACACACAGGTTGGCAGTGTGCAGCGCGAATGATAAAGACACAGAGGAGCATTTAATTACAAACAGAGCTGGCAAAAACATTTTTACGATCCTAACATACATGAAAAGACCCAATTACGACCCAGATTACGATTCTGCTAAGTTTTTATCCGTACAAAGGGTAAATAACTATATCCGGTTTGCACTGTAATGTCTTCTGTGGAAACAGGAACTAGAATTTTGTCTGGAGGCGGAGGCCGCTCAAAATTGGATGGAGGTGGCCACCTGACAATTCTCAATGCGGGAAAAACACTATCTTGCTGCTTAATGTGTAGCTAGCATACTGTGGCTTAATGGAGTGTAAATATTATTTACAATAAAAAGCTGCCTGGTAAAAAAAAAATTAAATAGTAGAAATTAACCCAAACAAAGTTGCACAGCATCAAACCAGGGCCACAGAGTGACAGGGAACTGCACAATCAAGTGGTATCTCTCTCTGTGTTTGTCACAGAACAACACCTTTATCCATGTAGACACTCCAGCCATTGCCAATATCAAATCATTGATTATAGCTGCTTTCATGGGACTATGTGATATGCTATATCTATTTTATTTTCATCTTCTTATCTCCTGTCTTCTAGGGCATCACCGGACATCAACAAATTGATATACATACATGTATATGGAAATGGAATACCAACACCAGTCCATTTGTCAATTCATCACATAAACGTCCCTTTATCTCCTGGGATCAAGACTTGATCAAATCCTGCTGACAAGTGGACTTCTACCAACTGAGTAAACTACTGCTAACAGAACTATGCAGTGGAGACGACGCCACTGTTGTGCACACACAGCTAAACTTTTGTATCTCCTCTCACTGTTGGGTGTACTGGTCTTTCTGGTCCACCAGGTGTGGCTGCCTAGGCTAACAGGTATGCCATGGTGGAGAGGTCATCCAGTGGTGTATGGAGGTGGGGGACTTCAAAACACCAAAACCAAACTGAATATGAGCTCTGAACATTCAATGTGGAGGTTTGTCATTGTTCCTCAGCCGACTTTGAAGATTGACGCCAACATCAGCTTCCATGAGAAGGAAGGTGTCTCCTCTCCTCGAGACCCAAGTTCTGACAACACCCTGGCAGCCAACACAAGCATAAGTGGGGAGGGAGATCTTAAAGGAATGATAACTCATGGGCCTTTCTCTTATGTTATCAATGAGCAAGACAAATGTTCAGAAAACAGACCCGCCCCATTTCTTGTATTACTGATAGCCACTGAGGCTCGGAAGGTGGAGGCAAGGAACGCTATACGTCAGACGTGGGGGAATGAGAGTGTCGCTCTGACTCTGGGAATCATCCGGCTCTTCATGTTGGGGAAAAACGAGGGAGAGCTAGGACTTTTACAACAAAGGATGCTAGAAGCAGAGAGCAAAAGGCATCACGATATTATTCAGCAGGACTTTGTAGATTCCTACAAAAACCTGACCATAAAGACGTTGATGGGAATGAATTGGGTGGCAATGCACTGCCCACGGGCCAGCTATGTCATGAAGACGGACAGTGACATGTTCGTCAACACAGAGTACCTCATATATAAGCTTCTCATGCCAGAACTATTTCCCAGGAAGAATTACTTCACAGGAAATAACATGAGAGGCTTTGCACCTAACCGAAATAAAAACAGCAAATGGTACATGCCACCAGAGCAGTACCCAAGTGAGAAGTACCCCACCTTCTGCTCTGGCACTGGTTACGTCTTATCTGGAGACTTGGCGATAAAAATCTACCAAGCATCTCTAAGTATCCCTCACCTGCATCTAGAGGATGTGTATGTGGGAATATGCCTGGCCAAGCTCCGGATCGAGCCGGTGCCACCGCCCAATGAGTTCCTATTCAACCACTGGCGGGTTTCTTACTCCAGCTGCAAGTATAGCCATCTGATAACATCGCATGGGTTTCATCCCAATGAACTACTTAAATACTGGCATCACCTACAAAGCAACAAACACAATGCCTGCATCAACACATTTAAAGAGAGAGGGGGCAGGATGCACGCAGTCCAAAGGATTAAATGAAACAAGCTCAATAACTGACACTCACAAGCTCTTTTTTAAGCCCATCTGGTTCTGTCTTTAGTGGGAAAAGGTACAATTGTCATATTACTCTGCCATAGTCACTGGTAACTGTCAGCTCCAGCTCAGATTGGCAGTCATGGAAACATGACTCCCCTTTTCTGGTGTTATCACATTTGTCATAGCTGTAACCTTGGTAACATTTGTAAGACCTCAGACACAAATTCCATCGCAGTTCAAAACAGAGAGGCAAACTTGTCTCCTTGAGATGAGAAAGGAGTCAATTATCTTTGTAGTGGGTTTGGTAAAGTTTAAGAAACCTGCATATCTATGTTAACTTTGGGTTCCAATCCTTTTTATCTCATACGAAGGGATTTATCAATGTTTTTTATATGGGAACTCGGCATAAATGAGAAAAAACTGATGAAGTGCTTCATTATTATTGCCAATTTTGTACAAAGGAAGAAAACAGTTTCTATGTCTTGATGCAAACCATTGGAGAGTTTGTGTTCACAGTTCTAGTTCACACTTACTCTACTTTTTGGAATAATGTGCATCATACTACATGATTTATATGTGCAGATACAAGTTCAAAACTAGAGTCAACAAGGTACAGTGCCAATAAACGTTTTAACTTGCATATCAAAAGTCAGGGAAGTCATTTTAAAAGAGTTTTAACAGTTAAGTAATTACAGACTGAGATTGCAGACCATCAATCATTTTTGAGATTACAAATAAAAATTACATTTGGCTCTTAAACAACAGATCCTCTTGTTGATTGAGTAAGGTCCTATCTATGAAAAAATTGTTCCTGTCTGTAGTTTTTGCAGATTCTCTTTGATATGGTCAAATGGAATAGGAAAGACCAGCAGAATTTATTTTTAATAGAATGTTGAAAGCTTAAATGTGTAAAATAATTTTTACTGAAAAACTCCAGAAACAAAAGTGTAAAGTCTCAATAATAATCTCTTGGATCACACATCATGTGTGATGCAAGTGTCTTGGTGAACAAAAATTTTTTGTGTACAAAGAGAACAGCACAGGGCCTTATGTACACCCTCTGATGACATAACATACAAGACTCAGACGGAAGCATATGCAGATAAACGAAGTGTAACACCAACATACGCATGTGTCAGCTGAATGATGCATTATGTGTTTACTGCCATAAAACAAATAAGACTTGGGCAATGTGACACAGAAACTCGGTTTAGCAGCTTCAAGCAATTAAAAAGTGTCTCTTTCTAGGTACTGGCAACATGAAATGTAAACATGCAGTTTAACTCTTCAGCAAACAAGAAGCCCCGTTCTTACCGTCACTGACTTCAGGGTCATGCCGTGGTAGGTGCCCATGGTGTCGATCTTGAAACCCTCCGTTTCTGAGGACACACACAATGAGTTAAGACAGCTGGCAGAATTATTTTTTTTGTTGCATGAAAATATTACAATATTTGCACCTTAATTCTTACAACTACTGTCCAACGCTTAAGGAAACTTTGCATATGCTCAACATTATATCTATAGATTTTTCACCATTTGTGCTAAAAGTAGAATCCATTTCACAAGTGTTAAAACAATTGGGCAAAGTACACAAAGAGCTTAAACTGTGATGTGACTGCATTTGTTACAAATGGGGAAAAGAGGTGAGAGTGTAAAATCACCAGTAAACCACAGTAAAATTCCCGACAGTTAGTGCAGCTGTGTTAAATTTAGGCTTATTACGAAAGCTGTGTTTGATTTCCACACTCAGGTAAATGTCCAGCATCAGCCAAAGTTAGAAACCGTTTCCCAGACACATGGGAGGATGTGCAGCATGCAGTTTATGTACATGGCGCTGAAGATTTTTTAGCCTTAAAAGACAGATTGTGAAGTGTGACCATCTTTTGGTTTTATAAAAGAGCTGAGCGAAGCCTAATTGAAGATGCATGCCTTGTCTGCAAACATGCACAAAGTAAATCTCTGTGAATGGGGGCAACACTTTGAATGCAAGGCGAGTTAACACATGATGTGGGGGACTTTTTGAATGGGCAAAAAAGTTTTTTCTGTCTTACTTGCAAATTGCTTGTCAATAATGTAAACTGGCTCTTTTTGTGTTTCCTAAACAATACATAATGCTGTGCTGCTGTATGCATTGTGTCTGCAGACTCTATTTGCTTAACACACTCAGTAACTCATCAAAAACACAACATAATTATAAATAATAATGAACTTTCACACTTATTCAAATTGTGGGAGTATGAAAGCAGCTGTGCAGCTGAGTTGGAGACACACTAGCCTTAGAAAGCTGGTGTTGACAGTAAGTCGCTGGTTTAGCTCCAACAAAGGTAGTATCTGTGACGTCTATCAGTGAATCACACTATTGCAACATTATGCATCATTAGGAGGTCAGCATGGCCATTATCATTATTATAATCATTATTATTCTCCAAGCAGAACCTCCACTGTGTGTTACTACAAAATATGAAAAATGTATTCTTCTTAATAACACTTATTAGACTGATAATACACATTGTCAACATAAACATTGAAGATCATATCAGTCTATCTACTGTTTTTATTAAATAATCTCTATACAAACACAAAATAATGTCATACATTGGGCCTACATACATCAACATAACTTGGTTAAATTGCATTGTAAATTATATTATTCCTTTAGCTCCTATATGTGTGATTGTTTTTCACTAGTATCTGACTATGACTCTAACACTGTTTTTTTCTTACTAATTATTTTTGGGGATATTAAACCAGCAATACATCAGGGCTCTATAAAAGCATGTATTGGTGTAAGTAGTGGGATGTCCTTGTTAACCAAACACACTCTAATGGTTATTACCAGAAATGCATCACACAAGTAAGCACTTGACTATTTGCAAATACTGCAAACGTGTGTATTTTGTTGGAAACCATGAATATTTTTCAATATATCCATCCATTAGCTACACAACTTACTCCATGAGGGTTGTTTAAACCCAGAACCTTCCTACTGATTACTTTTCTTGAATGAAAAGAGTAAAGTGATACTATGGAAATGTGAAAATCATTCAAGATGACAACAAAGAGTAAGATGTTCGACAGGTATGTCTATAACAGTCTATATGCTGTATTTCTATCTAGTCTGTCTGTATTGGAAAGGCATATACTTCCTGATAAATCTTTATCTAGTCATGTGCCAACACATTTGCATTAACTGTATTAAATGATCACAGAAATAAGATCTTGATTAAGCTTTAAAGACTAATAATAATCATCAATAGCTACAATGACATCAAACAAGTTCTCACAACTTAGTGCCACATAAAAGGTGTGCCAAAAGTATTTTAAACAACCTGGGACTACATTTCCTGTTTACAATTGTGTGACTAAACTTACATCTGGAATTTACATGTGGTCTGTGTCTGGAAAATTGCCTCTTATCACAAGCCTTTGCATCTGGTATTTAATAGCAATCTTGTTATCTTATTTTGTACCCATTGTTCTAAAATGAAAACCATTTCAGCCAAAGTTTATGTACCTTGGGCCAAAGAACCACCACTAATTCATTAGCTCCATTTTTACTTTTTGCCCTCACACTTCAGGGGAAATCTGGCTGATACAATGTGTTCAGTGTGAAAATATATCACATATATATTAGTCAGTCAGCCAGGAGTAGTTGGAGATCTGAATTAAGCAACAACTCTCTTATTTTTTAACTACCACACACCTTCTCCTTCCTTGAGAGTAAGAGTAGAGAAACACGAACTCACCCTCTTTTCCTTTGAATCGCTCCTGATCGTATCTGTTGTAGGCCGCAGGGACAGGCTGCTTGTTCCTTAAGGACGGGTCCTGAAAATTGCACGAAATAAAAACAAATAATTACTGTTATAACTGTCATACTTTTCAATGAAAACCTCAGTAGTAGCAATTTATAGAGTTACTGATGCTTTCATTGGTTGAAACAAGTGTTTCTACATCCGTTTAAATTCATGCTTAATTTTAATAAAACATCATTCAAACGTCTTTCCCTTTAAGTGTTAAGATGTTAATATACACGCAATTATTTTGACTGATGTCACTAACTGCCTTGAACACCCGGAGAAACTGGAATGTGAGACACAAATATAAAGCAGAGTAAATGAAATTTGTACCACTTGAGTTGTGGTCTGTGCTGGTCTCTGTTCTGGAGCTCGGCCTTCTTCTCTGGCTTTCACTGACTGAAGAATGGCAAATATGTTCTTGGAGAAGTTCTGAAAAGATGTGACACAGATATATAAAACATTATTGTTTCATTCATCCTGTGTGTTTGTCTTATCAGGTCTGTGGCCAAAGGCTGATGAAAAAAGAAGAATCACACAAAACTTTTCATCACAGGAGCTGTTCAACCTTTTTATAATTTGACCATGATATTTTCTGATACACTATTTTGAGCAAAAGCATGCGCAGCAAAGTGAATCACATGTTAGTCTTTACTGAATGGAACCTGGAAAAAAAAAGAGCCCCCTTAAATTTAATCTAGCTGCACTGAGAAATCAGTCCCCAAAACAAATCAGACTTTTTCCATCATGACCATAAATAATTCCCAGGGAAGAAAACTAACTTTTAAAAGGGACAGGGATACAGGTGACTTTTAGACCATCCTCGGCACTAACTCTTCAATGTGTTCAGAAAACCGCGAGAAGAAATGTTGGAAGAAAAAATATCATGTTGATTGCACAGTTGGGAGCTGTTTACACGAGGTCCTCTTGGGCAACTTCAGAAAGTCAGCCACAAATCAAAACCAGTGTGGATCAATGTCCAAAACAGATGAGAGGTGATTTCTAGTAAACATTAAAAACTAAGTTGAGCATTATAAACGTTGAAATTAGAGAACATATATATACTGTTATTCTGACACATGCTCTAATCTATGGATTAGGATTTGATGTAAATCATGCAACATCTCCAGAGCAAGTCTGTTCTTGTAGAAGTGTTACTTAAACTCACAGCCAGGTACCTATATGAACACTGACACTGGTTTTGATAGCTGAGTATGTCCTCCTGTTCTCTTAAATTACAGTGCTTGTAAAAGTAATTTCCCTTTGAATTTTAACAGCGGCTCCAATAGGAAACACAGAGTGTGAAGAAAAGAATGATTTTTAAACTAGATATACTTCTTTATTTTTGGTAGCCGGATTGGAATGGACATTAAAAATGGTAAGTAATTTATATTCTATTAGAATAATTTCTTGCTATAGTGTTGATTGACTTCATGCTCAGAGTTCTTCAGTGGTTCATTAAATCCATCTTTTGAAAGTCAATTCAAACTGGATAGAACTCATGCCATTGCTGCCATCTAGTGGTTATATTTGTCATGTTTCTCTATATTGAAGATGAGGTTTGATCATCTGGAAATGTCCACACACACACACACACACACACACACACACACACACACACACA